AAGGAATACATTATACATGGCGGACAGCGTTTTGAGAAACCACCATGAAACATTAGTTGCTGACACTTTTAAACACTGTCAGGAGTGACACAGAGATAACCAGTAAAGAGTTATACACACATTTGCCTGATGCTCATCACCTATCAGGGGAAGAAATGGGATGCTACATGGTGTGGCACAGGTGTGAAAAACATCTAGACACCTTTACAAGAATTATCATTTCACCTCTTTTCAAGTTAATTGTGCAGCCTTACCTTGAGTACTGTGTGCAAGTTTGGTCCAGTAAATGTACTTACAGGCACAGGGTAAAACCCACCCAAAAATTGAAGTAGCAAGGATAACAATTAGGAGAATGATTTAAGCACAAGAAACAAATAAACAAGATGGGCCTCTCCCATGTGGGAAAAAGAAAATACAAGTCATAAGCAGCATTGGTAAGATGCAAAGAGTTCAAGCATTTAGTCTTCTCCCATGTGCCAAGGAATCAGATGAACTAACTGCTGGTGTTCAGGAAAATACACCACTGAAACAAGATCTATATTACACAAAATGACTGAACTGCTCCAGAATACATGCCAAGCTTTAACATTTACATATGGTAACTAACTTTCCTGAGTATGTCAGGAAACTATTACTGTTCTCAAAATGTGACCAAATTTCCAGTCTAGCAGGTGGCAGTCTCAAACAAAACACAGTTGGATCTTCACAAAGCCTAGAGCAGAGCTTTAACATCCACCACATCCCATCACAAAGCAAACCTAAGGCTTTGGGTTTGGAAAGTAACAGGAGACACAGGTAGAAAAGAAAATCATTAAGAGCCATCTATAAAGCTAAGCACAAACCCACTTCCCTTAAATGAAAAAAACCAAACCCCAATCAGCCCTGTAGCCACAAACAGCTGGTAATCGAGAGTGTATGGGGAAGTATTTGCTCTAACCCCACGTTTGTTTAGGCACCACATCTCACCAAATGCCATAGCTCACCAGGGTAAAGGACCTTCAGCCTGATCCAACTGAATTCGTCCCACTGGGGTGCATACTTTGCTGCCCAGGATCACTGAACACCTTCTGTTTCTGTAAGAGGTTCAGTATCATCACATCCAGTGAAGAGTTTGAGATCTACAGGTTGCTAGCATGGGAAAGTCTGCAGAGCTTTTCTGCCCCCTAAATAGTAGTAATAATCAGTAATTCATTTAGCTCCCTCCATCCTAGTCCTTCAATCCCTTCCCTAAACACCAATTATTTGTTTTTGTTAATTCAACATAGTAAGAGGTATGTCCAAACCTTTCAACAGAAAGTCAGAAGAACAATGCTTGCTTTAAACCCTTTTGCAAAGGAATTGCTTAAGAAAAAAAAAAAAAATCCACTACCATGAAGATCATATCCTGAACCTCCCCCACCTCCTCTATCTTGGCTTTAAATAAAAGTCTCTCCTTAAATAATGTACTTTCTCCTTAAATACTGAACTAAACTGGGAAAAAAAAAAAGCCATAAATGCAGGCTAATCTATATATAATCTTAATTTTCCACTTCTGGAAGCAAATAAGGGAGGGGAAAATAAAGCTGTATGACCTTTACAAACATCAATCAGATGTTTGTAAAGGTCGTATCAGATCTGGAAGGAGAACCTAGCTCTGGCCTGGCATGTATTTCAGTCAATGAAAACCCTCTTCAAAAATCTTATCAACATCAGAAACAAAGCAGTTGCAAAATAGTTTTCTACTTACTGGACCAGAAATCCTGAGAAATAAGGCAGTAAAACAGCACTCAAAAGCTGAACTGAATGCACAGGAGTTGCTGAGTCTTCGTGATGGATTTCAAAGTGGCAGATTATCAAAGACAGAATGTACCCACACACCCCCATCAGTCAAAGCAACACAAAAAATAGATGTGGAACTTTTAAAACAAAGAAACCAACTACACCATACACTAAAGCAAAGTATGGCGTCACCATGACAACACAGGTAATGAAAGTGTGGCTGGCCTCAAGACAACAAATTCATAGGAAGAGGAAGGGTGAGGAGAAAAATCCCCTGAGAAATCTTAAAGTTCCAGGCTCTCCCTGACTCACTTGCTCCTGGCACTAAGCTTTCATGGACTTACCGATGTATCCTGTTTGCATTTGTATGCAATTCTTCTTCTGATGGTCCTGACTATCCTTTGAAGGCTATGAAGGACAAAAGAGGCCTTCACTCTAGCCCAGTAAGGTCAGTCCTTAGGATGGGCAGGTTTGAAATGACTGACAATCAGAAGCAACTTAAAACTTCAAGTCCAGTAAAACAGAATTTAACAACTCAAAAATAAGCCGTTATTTCTGCTATACCAGCAACTGCAAGCTAACATCTGAAAAGGCAACCAACAAAATGACTGTTTAATATATTATACATCTAAAAAATAAAAGGGGGGGGGGGGGAAGGGCATGGGGGGCAGGAAGATGGGAGGTGGTATTCTTTGCCTACAAGGTTATACATGGCTTTGGTATCTTAGAGACATTTCCTATGACTATACAGTTTGGGGGGGGGGCGGGGGGAGAAAGGCATGTTTGTTTTAAACAAAACATCAGTTGTTTCGTATTTCAAACTGTCTTACAGACTAATAACTGAAAAATGAAGAAACAGCCTTTGATCAAAGATGACGCACAACACTTAAAAGTGCTGCATCCTCAGCTCATGAGCATGATGCAGGCAAAGCTTAATTTTTACATACAGGTAATTAGAGAATTAACAAACTAAGTAGCTAATCAATACTTAATAATGATGATCAATTGCTAAATACCTACAAGAAATGACAGGTTAGGAAGTATTGCATATTGTATCTAATTCTTTATCAAATCAACAGCGTCAATCTCTTACTGACAGTGATGATGTTTAGAAAAATGATACTGCAGCAGATTCTGGACTGCACAAAACCATGTGTATAATCTTCACTCCTCTTCAAAATGCAGTACGCTTCCAGACACTTTGTATTTTACAGTAATAGCTAAAAAACTTGCCAGAAACTATCACTGTTTTTAAAACCAGAGCTCCTGGAAACATGAGTTAATTTTCACTCATCTCAAAATACGAGAGCAAAAAACTAAGGTGTTTTATGTTAATGACCAAGCAAAGTGATGACTTAAAATAATCTGACACACCAATGCAAGTTGTTAACAACTTTTACCAAATGCATTCTGAAGCAGAACACAGATATGATACTAAAGATCATGTCATTATTACCACTCATAAGAAAGATGAAGTGTGCAGTTTTATTTCACAGCACTAAAAATCCAAAACAAGTTCTCAAAATTCATCCAGTTAGTACCATATTAACTACATTGCATCCAGTGATTTGACAGCTCAATGCTAACCAGAATTACAGCAGCAGTACTTACTAGGAGGAAAAAAATGAATTTGCCAGAAATATTAGTTAAGCTTTAGACATTTAACAAAATAAAATGCACTTCAAACATATTTAAGACCAGTGTCCATGAACACCATTGGTAATTTTCATCAATGAAAGCTTCCAGTTTGAGAAATGCTGCAGAGTCCTCAACAGATGACTGAAATGAGGTGTTCTGTCCAGAGCCACACAAAGGAAGAGAAAGCATTATTTTTCTTGCAGGACTTTTTCAGGATGTGGTCATCTGCAATGCCATGAGATATGACAGCCTGTTCAAACAGTGCTCACTGAGCTAGTGCTCAAGTAGCTCAGTGATCAAAAATGTATTTTGATGCATTTCAGCTTTCCCTTGTAGTATACAAAGGTATATATTTAGTAAATAAAAGGGCCCCACTGAAGTCACCTCCCTTGTGGTAAGAATCAGCCACATGAACAAATGCCTAAAACATTATATGTCCAAACACTTCTATTGCTACAACTGTGCAAAGTTTCCATATTCAGCCTCTAATTCTGCTAAAGGAGTGAGTCAGTGCCTCCTTTAAATACAGGTCAGAAACGAAACAGTACATTTTCCTTTTCAGCTAACTGCTGACAGCCACTGAAGATCTATCTGTTATGCTGGAGTTACAATGGACTTGTATTCCAAGGCATAATAGAACACAGCCTCTGAAGAGTCATCCTTGAAGCCCTCTGCACACAATTTAAGCATACAATCAATTTGGTAATGCATACGCAAATGATGCTTCACTGTAGAAGGAATTTTTTGGTTCCTCCACCTCATCTGGCACATGATTAAAAATGCAGTTAAGTGCAACATATTCCTCCTCCATGAGGAAGAAGGATGTATCTTTTAGCAAACGATGTCTTAAAATCAGTTTCACTGAACTGACAACAGAAATCCTCCATTCATCTCCAATTGTCAGGCTTTCATCCTTTCTGTTTGAATCATGAATCATCACAGGATGACTGACTCACAAAAATATATTTGTCCAAAGGTGGATTTTCTTACTCTTGCATCTGCTATTTACCAAACTTAACTGCCTTTAAAGAAAGATTAATGTCTTTGTAGCTTGCCTTAATGTTGCAATAAAGTTCGTAACAGGCATCTGTCACAGTCATTACTATCTGTTGACCTAGTCTCAAGGTAGGATCAAGTAAAAAAAGAGACATGCCAAGCTGATATATGCTGGGGCTGACAAGTATCCTGACGTACATCCCTGCATTTGTTTCTAGCACTGATATTCCTCCCTAACCATCTCAATAGCGTCACAAAAAGAGCTAACACAGGCAAGTACTCCACTGGGATGTTAATGCTGAAATATCCACCCTTTTCAGTCACTACCTTCAGTGATCAGAACCTTGGTCTCCATAGATAGCAGTGTACTAACGAAACAGGGCACTACATCCCAACATAGGGGAAAGCCCTTAACAGTAAAACAGTACAAACCAGGTTTCTGGACTGCTCCTTAACTTAGAGATATGTAAACTTTTAAGTGCTTTTATACAAGCCATATTAAAAAAAAGTGACAAAAGCCTAACTCCTGAAGAAAAACAAAGCAAAACAGAACACCACCATACACCAAGTTTAACTCCTCAACTTTCAGCCTCTTTTTCTCTTTTCTGTTTTTGCAGCAATTAAGTTCTCAGTTATGAAGGTGAACCTACAAAAAGAAATTACCCTGCAGCAAATGAGGGTATAAACATTTATAGTGCAGCTGATACCCTGTGGTATTCACTTATACCAACCTTTCACCCCCTCTCCAGTAAACACAGCAAACTAAGTCTCACTTTACGGCACAAGCTCTGGAACATTCATTATAGGGTGTGAATACACACTTCAAGAGCTACCAGACCATAAATCCATACCTTCATTTGCTCTGGGGCAACTTGTTCAGAGTCACTCTTTCCTGGGCAATGATGGAATTCTTATCTGACTTCCCTTCAGACATTCTGAACAATTATCTTCTTTTCCCATTTTTCTGCCACACTGCAGAGGTCTAAAATACTTTCCAACTTTCCGTAGCAAGTGAACCTACTTTAAGTGCAGTTGTCTTAAAAAAAATCACTAGTACCTGTATGCAATTAATTTCTTTTAAGACCAGCTTTTTTTTCAAGAACAAGGCAGCACATCGATGTGTAAGTCCTACATAAGTGACACAGGGTTTGGTGCCTTAAAGCTAGCAGAAGTCTCAGGCAGTTCCTTTTTACAGTCCAAAACCTGCCTTGATTTAGGGTTAGCAACAATCCCATTTCAAGCAGGAGGCTGGACTGCAGACCTCCAGAGGTCCCTTCCAACCAGAGCTGCTAGGACAAGTGTCAGCACCTCATCAGGACCAAGATACGTAGCAGACCCTAATCTGAATGCCCTAACCCAAAACTTTAACACAAGAAATTGATGGTGTCAAGTGAAAGACACACCAGATTACTCAGAGAACAACTGCTGCATCTCCCAGAGCATCTTCCCATTGCCTCACTTTAAGTCTACTTACCCTGGAGGCTAACTTGCTATGCAGGGTAGGTCAATGACGAATGCAGGAACACTGCAACTCTGCCTGCTTTAAATGCCCGAGGAAGTTGTTCATGTGGTACTGTCCAGCCAGATACTGGGCAGCTGTGCAGAAGTACTATGTACTCTCTCTCTCCTAGAAGCTCAGGAAAAGGAGCAGAAAAGCTCACAGGTTGGAATTATTTCATGCCTGCCACAGGAAAAAAGCAGCTAGCAAAAGAGGCAGAGCAAAGCAATAGTGAATCCATCCAACACCTGATAAAACAGAAGTTGCACCAGCTCTTAAAAATCCATCTATGGCACATTCATAAGAGGAATGACCAATGAAATTACTTATTTGCATAAGCAACCCATCAAATTTTCAAAGTCAACATGGCAGCAGCAAATTATCAAAAGTGGTTGTTCACAACATCTGTCAAACAGAACCGAGATCAATTTTCAGAACACCCACTCCATTTCATTCCCTCAAAGTTCATCAATAGCAGTATTATTAACTTTTGGCAATTCACACTCTTCTTTGAAGTGGCAGTTTTCCAGGATGTTCTTGTAATAGTCCTTGAGGTCTGCGTAAGTAGAGATGGTTTCATTTGAGTGCTGAAACAACATCAGTTTTTCATTCAGCAGCATCTGTACTTGATACTCTTCTTCAGGGTTTTTCACTTGATCACAGTGGTAAAGCACAAATACCAGGTTGGCGGCATAAGGCACGATCCGGCCAGTGCGAAATTTCCGATGCGCCTGCCTGATGTAATTGTTTGCCTTGAGAGGCTCATCATCTTTGAAGAAACCCATAAGGGCAAGCAGTGGCTGAAGTGTCTCTGCATGTCCAACTTGTACAATCACAGGTGAAGAAATAGGTTTTGAACTGAAAAAGAGAAATATATGAAGGATGAGCAAAAGCCTGTCCTTTAAAACAAATATACCAGCATATTGCACAACTGTCAGCAATGTAGGCTTCAGAAGAGTAGACTCTGTTGGGCATTGGAGTAAAGCAGCTCAAAACCCTGTTTGGGAATTTCAGTGTATTATGGACTTCTTTCAAAGCATCCACATTTCCTAAACTTTGCCCTAATTCAAGGTATTAGCTTTGACATAAAATGCAAGAAGCTGTAATAAATGCAGTTGGGCTACAGCTAGAGCCCAATGTAAATATGGTAAACAAAAGCAAGAAACAAATTAATGGTGTGCATCCATATACTCAGTACATCTCTTCAACTCCTGCGTGAACCTACTCGCTTGTGCTTTACCCAGGTATGGGATAATCCAGCGACTGTGCTAACATTAGTACACTGGGTTTGGATTAAATACAAGATTTCTAAATAGCATTGCTTCCTCTCATCAGGGATTTGAGAGAAAGTAGAGAACTGCCAAACCAGCTGCAAGGCTCTGCTAACAAACAAACCAAGTCAAGCCCTTTGTTAGATGTCAACATGCGGAAGGGCTCATGGACATTGCAGTAACTTATTATTTCTGTTAACACAGACCCACTGCAAATACATATGACCACTCCCCCGTCACCGGCTGTTTGGAAAAACTGAGACACTTTCTTCTTTTTTCTTTTTAACCAAATACATTTTTTTACTACGTGTTTCACAAATTTCCTTTATTACAAACCTACAGCTAAAATATAACAACTTTTCCCAGGAAACTGAGCTGTATTTAATAGGATTGATTAGAGTCATTAACTTTTTTGTTGTTCTCTGGCAGATGCAAAAAGTGCCCAAATGACAAAGTATAATGAACTATTAAGTGAGATCATCCAAGACACAGTCCACTTCACAAAGACCAGTGAGTTATTATTAAAACACACCCTTTTTCTTTAGCTACATACTTCAAACAACACGGATTTTCTAAAAGTCTTTTTAATAGGCTTCTGCCTAAATTAATCGACGGTGTTGTGAAGAGCCCCCACGTTATCATTATTTTAGCCCTGGAAAGTTTTTACGTTTTCAGCATTATTTTTCCTAGATTTGAGGATCAAAACCTTTTCCAGCTGCTGTAATAATAAGTGACAATTCAGTTTCAAGATGAAAATTAAGATTAAGTACAAACTTATTCACACATTAAGAAACTACAGTAAAGCACTACTACCCTCTGACCTACCTATAACCATATGATTGCCTGCAGAAGCAGGCAAATTACTGATTTAACACACAAACTGCTTCCCTCCCTGACACACTATCACCAGTGCAGGGTTTTAAGGAGTGTTTCTTGCCTACCTCTATGACCACCCATGCTTTTAACTGTGTGTAATACAAGAACAGGGAGGTTGGAACTAGGTGATGTTAGAGGTCCTTTCCAACCCTAACTATTCTATCATTCTATACCATGATAATTGTTTGCCTTGAGAGGCAAAAAACTGACTTCCCCTCCTCCTCCCCCCCCCCCCCCCCCCCCCCAGTACTATTCAGCTGTTTAGAAGGTGTACCAGCACTCACCGAAGTTTAGTCTGATGACAGCAATCCAGTCATTGGAGGAAAACAGTTGTCCCTCCACAGTTCATTAGTCCATTACTACTTAAGAACACCAACTAGTTGAAAAGATTATACTCCCTTAGCACACAGGCCAGCAAACTGAGCCACTGATTCATACCATGAACGAAGCCTAAAACTATTACAGCTTGCACAACACAAGGTTACATACTGTTCAACCAAAGGGAAGAGCTGATTTGCTGCAAGAAGCAGCATTAGCCAAGATGAAAATCCACCCCTTGTTCCAGAGAAGGATGATGAATTTTGGGACCATCCCCAAGTGTCACTCAGAAGCCCACATGACTTATTTAGCACATGTAAACACATGCTTAGCTTTCACAAGTCAAGAGATCATGTTTGGTAACGCTCCTGCTGCCAGTAAAGTCCACCCACAGGTAAGACACATCCCTACTGGCCTGAAAAGAAGGCTCTACCTCTGCTCCAACCTAAAGTCTGAAGCAACTGAAAAAATGGTTAGGTAGGGGATCTGCCTATACATTCAAACTTTGTTCAAATAAGCAGGAATTCAGTATGGGGACATGATGGGCTCTGTAATACCAGCTCAGTATAGCAATGAGCCATATATAGCCAGGTGTTTGTGCAGTCTGAAACATGTCTTGCACCATTCTGCTCCCTGGTGAGCCTGCAGCTCTTCTGACTATACTCCATAGACATGCACATACTCTCCCCTTAGGCAAAAAAAAACCCACAGTTTTTCCAAGTGAGCTAACGTCCTTTTAGATCCAGAGTATTAGATATGCACAATACTCAAGACATCAAATTACACTGTAAATCCACACAGCATCCATGATGCTGTTTTCTTAATTCAGGACACCTAACACCTTTTCTAGTTAGCTTACAGAAGTCTGAGATACTTCCAGACAGCTTTAACAACCTCAAAACTCAGTTCCTGAGCAGCAAGTTGTTGCAGATTCTACCTGACAGATAACAATACGACTATTTTTACCATGTGGATAAATTCAAAAAGGTGTAATTTTCAAGCCCAATTAGTCTCACAAAGTCCTTTTACAATCCTCCTAGTAGAAACAATTTTTCTTCTTTATCTTGAGTAAAACTGCTGCATTTGTAATGACACTTAACTTCCCATCTCTTTTTCCTGGTCATTTCAACATGCTGGGCAGTCCAGACCCTTGCAGATCTATCTTCACTAGCAACCTGCCTCTGCTGGAAAAAAAAACCATCAGCTACCCTACCTCCATTCCTTGTATTTTTATTCATTTTTACCCATGTAAGGACCTTCCCATTAACCCTGGCTGCTTGATTTCTTTTCATAAGGAAACAACCTGTAGAAAGATGTTTGGAAATCATGACTGTGTCACCTAGACCACCCTATTTGGAACTCCTGGGAAAGATCCACAGGCAAGCAAGAGGTAAGTTTTCCTGTCACAGAACCGTATTGGCAGCACTCTGGTGTATCATATTCTTCAAGCTGCTCATCAATGTTAATCTCAATCATTATTTCTATTAAACTGGTCTGTGATTCCGATTTTCCCCTGGAGTTGGGTTTTCTCCTTTCCTTTCCCCCCCTCCATTTATTTGTTTTCACATCATCACACTTGCCAGCCTCCACAAGCTTCCTGGCTGAAGCCAACACACACTGGCTGTTATTTCAGCTATTTCATTAAGGTTCTTTTAACACTCTTGGGAGATTATCACCCAGCTCTAGCAACTCAGCGCAGTTTTATTTGGTCCCAGCTGCACACCCTTCTAACACATGCCTGTTTCCAAATGTGGTGGTCTGTGTTTTATAGTTTACTAACCAAGAAAGCTAGAAATGTGAATATGCTGCTCAAGTCTCCAAAACAAGTGTTACACAGGCATTATTCACTCCACAGGGAGTGGATTTCACTCACCCATACCCCCCCCCCCAACCATAAGTTTCCAAACCAGGAAATTAATTATAGCATATAGACATACACACCCGCAGATTTTTAAAGAACAAGAAAAGAAAATCTCATGGAGACAAAAGAAGGAATAAACAAGGTGCTCACTCTCACCTGTAACTTGAGTTTTTATTTCACCTGCTTTAATCTCATTAAATCCTTATGCCAACAGGTCAAACCACCTTGGGAGACAAAACAAACCTCTCCCTCTCACACCTGTCCCACCATATTACTTTAACAAGGATTAAAAACTGTTTCCTTATGTGGCACAATCCTTAGTTTTCAACAGCCTCTTCAAAACAGTATACTTGGGTTTCTCACCAGTGCTGAATGTCTGATTTCTAAGACTACTCAAGCATTCCCTGTTCAGTATCTAGGGTTATGACTCCAGTTCATGTGCTGTTTCATATCATCTAACAACGACAATAAAGTTCACCATCAAGGTTAAAACAGTAATACTTTTAATAATGGGAGAAATCACAAAAGATTGCCTCTTCAGAACATGTACACAGGCAAAGGTTACTACTGCCCCTACATTTCTGATAAAGACAGGAGCACAAATCACAATAAGCAAAACACTGATAAACTCTGAACAGTAGCACAGGCTAATGGAATATTAAACACAAGGCCTGAGATTTCCACACTCAATCTTTCTTTACGATCAGTAATGACTCAGTATCACATAGAAGCATTAAAGTTCTCAACATTGTACTCTGGCAACTGCCAATGCTATTTCAGTTCACTTTCTCCCTTTTATTTAGTACTAAAGGGTTTGATCAGTAGAAAAAGAAAAATAATCTCATTACCGACTTTAAAAGGAGATGAAGAGGCTGTGAATAAAACTGTGCCATGAAATTTTAAGAGCTTCTCTGAATGTGACTGCTGGTGACTGGTTTCATGCTCATTTTATGGGGCACTTCCAGATGAGCAGAAGTGGCTGTCACTAGGCAGAACACAAGCAGGGCTCATTGAAGAGGTGTGTCAACTTCAGCTACTGAACTGCCCATTGGTATAACCATCTAAGGAAGTCTGACTGCAGCTGAAAATGAAGTTACTGAACAATACATCAGCATAGCCCTGAAAGATAAATTTCACCATGGAGAAGCACAGATATGGGATTTATCATTCAGGCAAATTCTACTTCTTAATCACAGCAGATTCAGGTTTACCTTGAATCGTCCTAAGCACCAATGTGACTCAGCTAGAGAAAACCCAAATCCCAGGAGATAGTGGGATAAGAGAAAACATTCCCTACAGCAAAGCTTAACTGGCCAACCTTTAAACCTCATGCAAAAAATCTCTCCAACAACTTCAAAGAGATTAAGTTTTAACAACTGCTAAACAAGCAAGCTTAGACTACATTCTGTCCTTTTCCTCCCCAGTACAAAAGCTAGGACAAAGAACTCAAACTCCTCTACTTTCAGCTATGGTAAGAATTCTCATATATGGGCTGAATTTTCATAAGAATCCCTCCCGCATCCCTTTGTGAT